TTATGCGTATGTACTTGTTTTGTATTATTTTTAATCTTGGGACTGGATCCATAATGGAACCAGGTATCAGAACCATTGTCTTGCTAAAACAAACATATGAAGTCAGAAACATTTAAACATTTATGGGTGATTGGTTTAGCTTCTTTAACCTTTAACCTTAACTAAAGTTTGGACTTGCAGAGTAGTGTTTAGCTTCTGGTTTTTTGGGGTCAACCATAAATTTAGGCCTGAGTGAGTTAGACGGACATCAGAGGATGCATTCTTAGTTTTAGCAGTAGCAGCCGGAGGGCAGAGAGAGAAAACAGTCCTAATGTTAACGACAGGGTCAGCAGACTATCTTTGGGTAAATCCAGGTAGTCTCTACTTTGGTTTGGGAGGGGGATGAGTCCTGATGACTGGCTACAGCTTAAAGGAACAGTTCAACATAAAACAGTATCCTCACATTATCCTAATACTGACATTTATTTATTACTACATTAATGAAGGAACTGACAACTATTTATTTTACTTGAATCATATCAAATAAATTGAATTGCATATAAACTGCACTCACCTCCCAAGATTCTCAAAAAAATCCTCAATGGAAGGAAATCTCAAAATGCTTTGTTTAGCAAGAGTTTAGCAAAAATATTTGCATTTTAATTTCCACAGGCCATGAATGGAAACATGGCACCCAGATAATAACGCACAGGAGTATCCGAGAAAGCTTTTCAGATGTATTGCACCTTTTTCACTGTCTTTCATTCAGACTTTGTCAAAGTGTGTTTGCACATTTTTCATCAGCTCTCCGTAATAGAAATAGTAATAGATAAGTTTTTCAGGGACTATAGAGAGCCCAGGACGGTGACTATTGCACACAAGTCATATTTTTTGGAGGGTTAACGACTCTTTTACATGAACTTTACAATACCAGTGACTTCCTCATAGACACTTTGTTTGTTTAATTAAGTACGCAGCTTCTTTTGGGCCGTGCCAGTTCATGGGATATCATACCAACTGTTGTATGAGGATACATCATACATATCAGCGCAGCTTAAGGTCAGAAAACTCTACAGGTTACCTTTAAAGAAACGTAAAACACACTGAGAGGGAAACAAGTTTCTGTACTAATGTCACTGTCAATAAAAAAACATAAGACCAACTTAACTTTGTGCCTCTAAGAGTTATTTAACTGGCTCTAAGTATCAAAGAGGACAGTTATACTGGGCATCGTTCCTTGCTGTACTTTGGTAAACTCTGCAAGCTTGCATTTTTGTTGGGTCTTGCAGCATCATGGACCAAAAAAACCTACAACACACTTTTTACTGCTCAGTTCTTTGTTAACAAAAAATAAAACCCCCTCAGGTGAACGTTGGAACAGTCCTGCCCCAAGTGTTAGCTGCAGACCTGCCTCTCTAATCATTTAGGCCTCGCTAAGATGTTTTGACAGCACTGTCGGAGCGCCGCAGGGCCTGTTGCTCATTGTGGAATGTGTGTGCGTGACGTAGGTCGGTGAAATCTGCACAGTGCGGGGCTTATACATTGCTTTACCACACACACGCACGCACGCACGCACACACACACACACACACACACACACACACACACACAGAGTCATATAGAGTGCAGGATGCATGAGACATGTTCCACACACTTGACACTGTAGTAATAGAAATAGTTTTGTAGTTGCAGTGTTTGGACTATAAAAGAGAGAAAAGAGGAAGGCAGAGGGGAGAAGAAGGATCATTTGTACTACTTTAATGCTTCATTGGGTTTGTTCACGTCTGCCAGCAGCACAGAGGAGGAGGAGAAGTGATGGATATCCAGGAAGGCAGCTTAATGGAGGATAATAATGATGATAACAGACACACAGCTACCTGGCTGACATCAAATCCCACTTTCTGTTCACATCACTGATTTAACTGTTGCTCTATTCCTGGAGATACCTGAGAAGGGAGGGGAGGGTGAATGCTTCCAGAACTAAGTTGTCATCAAACAAACTTATGTCAGCAGGTTTCTGTTGTTTTTTAGCGTGTGTAGTCCTCACAGTCCTGTCCCAAGTGTAAGTGTTAGACCTATGTGGCTACTTTGTGGCTACAAGAATTTGTAGCCTCAAAGCCTCCATCTCTGCTCCTTTTCTCTGTGTATGCACAGAAGTTTTTTCCTTCTCATCTTTTACAAAAGCAGACCCAGTCTGGTTTAGTCCGCCCGAGAGCGAGGAGAGGGAGAGAGGAGTAAAGATTTAAACAAAATGAGTTGAAAGGAGAAAATAGGAGAGGAGGCGTAACAAGAAAGTCGGGGTGATGGAGGAAGAGAAAAGGAACAAGAGGGTTTTGTTTCTGTCCAACTGTCCAAAGGGAATTCTGAGTGAATTTTCTATTGTGCGGATGATAGAATTCAGTCTATTTGGAGCAAATAAAATAAAGCTTTATGTGAGACAGAGTTGCTACAGTCCTTTGCCATCATGGCGGCAGTGGTTCCCCCAAGGGCCATGTAAACTGTATAAAAAGAAACCAAAGTATATCAGCGTGTGATTCATTAACCCTTATAATGGCATAGTTTTTTGTAACTTATATACTCCAACAGCATTATTGAAATCCTGAAATTTAGTCATGGGTTTTAACATTTTCAGTGGACCCATCTGGCTATCTATTTGAAAAATTTCTAGAGGAGTCAGACATGGATCAAGTTGCTCAGGACGTTGTAGAAATGTGTGCAACTGTTATACGTGTTGGCTGTATTTGAAGAAACTGAGAGACAATTTGGGAAATGCTTTTTCGCTCTCTTTCTGTGAGTTAAATGAGAAGGTCAATGCCACTGATCTCTCATGTCTAGCACAACGACTGGAAACAGCTGGCCTGGCTCTGTCCGACTGTAACAAAATCCACCTTTTAGCACCCAAGCTTGTTTTTTTTTTTTTTTTTTTAAATCTATATAAAAACTGAAGTGAAGAAATGACAGTTAACCATTTCTTGACCATGTCCAGGGGCCAGGAAACCAGCGGAGACTCCAGGAAGTTACTGTTTGCAGACAAGAAATAGGCTGTGTTTGAAACATACTTTTTATACTAAGTACAACAAAAAAATGAATTTGTAGTGCATTCCAACTACCAAAACATATTATGTATTAAATGCCTGGATGTGTCAGTGAAACAGACGAAAGAAACAGATATTTATGTGCCACTAAAAGAAGAAAGGTTACGTTTCCTTTAAAAGAACCAGAGGCAGACAATGGAAGATGGAGACAGAAGACAAAAGCCCTGAGGTGCAAGCTTGTCTGTCTCCTTGAGCAGCTCAGTAGAAATGAGTTATGTGTTGGGTAAAAAACCTGAAGATGCAAATTAGGCCAAAAAGTTATTGAGCAGACCTATTCAACAGTTGTGTGCATCCTTTAGCCGCTGCAAATCACACACCGAGCCGTCGTAACGATCAGCTGCCAGGTGTGAATGTGTGTGACCTCCCTCGTCTGTCACTTCTCCCCGCAGGTCGCTGCTGTAAATATATAAATGTGTCCTGTCTTAAAATTAAATTTAAGGATTAAATTTAGATAAAAGAAATGTTTTCTCCTACTTGCACTAGTGCCCAAATCCTAAAAGGCTCCTTAAAGCATTAGTAAGCATCGGGTGAAATTACAAAAGATTGTGAAGTTATCAAATTACACGGACAACAACCAGTCAAATGCAAATGTGTGCTTAACCACAGCTAAAATTACAGGCCTTATGATCCTCGGCTGTCATGTCTCGTCACCTGATATGGTTGTAAACACTTACTTGTGTTTTTATGACACATCATATGCTGAACATGTCCAGACAACCAAAGTTTTATTGTTGTGTCTTTGGACATCAGTTTGTTAGTTTGATATTTCATCAGAGCTGGCTCCGAATTATTGATTTTTGCCTCTAGGTCATGAGAACAAAGTCTCACTTTGGTAAATCTTATGAAGAAATAGTCCTTAAATAATGTCACTTTTATGTTGTATTCTTTGAGTATGTTTTATGCCTCTGTTCAAATTGAACTCCTGTGAAACAAAGATTTTTTATGGATATAACACTTTGTGGCAGAGACTTGCAGCCATTAAAAAAGAGAGTTTTTTTTAATGTTTCACATCTTGATTGGCATGTATGAGTAGTCATAATGTACCTGAGTCTGCAGTCCAAACATTGCCAGAAGCAAATGTCGGCTCAGAGCAGGCCAGATAAAGAGTTCAGTCTTGTTTTGGGGTTTTACTCTCACTGCTTCTTTGTGTATCATCTTTCTTTAAGCAGCTCTGTGGTGCACTTTTTCTCTGGATTGCTGTTGGTTAGATTTACCTGTCAGTCAAGGGGACATGTATTAAATCAAAAGCAATCAAAGTTGGGACTAACAGTCACAGAAAAAACCCAAAACAGCCAAAATCAGCTGCTTTCTGAGGAACGAAAGTTGAATTTAAAGATCTCGAAATTGATCTCTACTATGAAGATTTCTGTCTCAAGTTGTGCTGAAAATTATGTTTTCTGTCCCACGTTTGGGCTGTTTGCATGTGTGTGTTAGCCGAGTCAGTGTCAGGAGTCTTAACTGGGCAGCTGCCAGCTGTGAGTATATAAATGTGAAATGGGAAGCGGCTAAAATGAGCTTCAGTGTCAATCTATCCCCCCTGAAGTCATGTCTAGATGTGTTAATGTGTTAGATGCGGAGTGTGTTGTGGCAGCCGAGGCCACTAATGTACAGCTGTGCTGCAGGGATTCAGATTTCCTCCAGCTGTGATTGTTCATTCAGGGCTGCTGAATATCAGAGAGGATATGGAGGTCATGTCCTCTGAAATTTACTCTGTCCATTTTCATTTAATCCAGCTCAGTTTAAGATCCAGTGTTTAGGGCTTAGGGGGATATATTATCAGAAATGGAATATAATATAGTGTATAATCACCTGAAAATAAGAATCAATGTTTTGTTACCTTAGAATGAGCCGTTTATGTCCAGCTGCATGAATGAATGAATGAATGGGCTGAAAGCGACACATAAACTGCACCGATTATCACTGGAATTGTTTAGTTTTGTTTACTTTATCAACAGCAGCAAATCACAAAAGGAATAAAAACATAAATAAGATTAGATAAGTGGCACCTCCTGCCTTCTGCTAAAAAAGCCGTGACATTTCATAGAGTCGGACACTCTGCAGCTCCAGTCTGTATATCTGTGTGTACAGATGTACAGATTACAACTTCACACAGTAGTGGTACTTCTGTGTAAACATCTGCAGTAGTTTTTACAGCAGCTGTTCCTCTTCCGTCTCTCCTCAGCCTGAGCCGCTTCTCTTTCTTCTTCTTTCATCACTCGTCCCCCTCGTTAACCAAACTGTCTTCCTGCTCACTCTGCCGTCACTCCTCACCTCCGTTCACCTCCTGAACCCCTTCACTTAGAAAAGTGTGTCTCTCCCCTCCTCTGCTGTCGATTACTCCTCCTGAAATATGTCAAGAAGATGAACTCTCACATGCAGAAGCTAATTTTAGTAGTTTGATACTCGAATGTAGCCTAAAAGTGGTTTAATGTCTATTTATCTCAATGAAAACAAACATAAAGATGAACATTTTCTCTTTATAAGTGGATTTTAATCTGAATTTGGATATCATAATAATTTGGAAAATGTTTTTGAGGATAAAAGTTCATCAAGCTGTATATAAGAGCTGCACACATTGGACCCAGCTGATAAGAAAGTCAAAAAAGTGAATATGAGTTTATATATCTAATTTTGTAAACTATGTCAGTATGGTCATGCTCCATTGGTCCGTCTGACTCTGTAGTCCAGAGCAAGATTTCCTAATAACTAACTTCCAGACTGCCATAAAATTCTCTGGAGGTATTTATGATCCTCAGAAGACGATCTCTAATGATTTTTGTGACTCTCCCATTTTCCCCTTAACCAACTTCTGCATAATTTCCTGTTTATGGTTCATGGTTTCTAGAAGATTATTCCCGATGTTTCCGGTGACCCTGCTGACCTTTTCGTCTCTCTTTTCGTCTGCGTCTCCCTCTCCTCATTCCTTTCAGCAGCTCTCACTCTCGACCATCTTGAGCGCACACTTTACGCACAAGTTCACCGAGTTCATTTATTATAGAGGAAATTTGGCTTCGCAAACACGCTCGCACACCACACGCATTCCCTGTTTTACGACGTTTAACAATCACAAACAGCCTCAGATATGCGTAGCTGTGAGTTTCCTTAAAAAGTCAGCACAATCTCACAATTTTCCATCTGTTGCACAGCTGCTCCGTCTCCGCTCTGCTCCACCTTTGTCTCTTTCGCACTAAAAATAAGGACTCATCATGTACATCATGTAAAATCCCACTTTGTTTTACTCATTTGTTTATTTTAAAGCAGTTTAGTCTAAGTTACCACATATTCATTCACTCCAGTTGCTACAGTTGTCCACCACATTGTCTCAGTCTGTTAGTTACAGCACACTAAACTCTGGTGGCTAACATTCAATATTTAACGGATATTTTCACAACATATTTGGAAACCTTGTCTTGAGATTTAAAAAAATGTTTTTCTTTCTGGTAGAGACTCAAAACAACAAGAAAAAGAGGCTAAACAACTATAACGGCTGTATGTCTTGCTCCTATATGCGAGAGGTGGTGGGGCCTTCTGCATGTGGGTGCCCAGGGGCCCATTGTCTCATACTCCGCCCATGACCTTTAAGCCATCTGCATTTGAGGGGACTACCCATTGCTCTAATAGCCTATAATCTCAAAGCCCCAGTAGGTAGGAAAATGTACCATTAGACAAAAAGGTCATTTGCCTTGCTTTTAAAGGCCTTTTTTCCGAAGGCACTCTCCAAACAGAAGCACACGGCTAATTATCATGCAGAATGACATCAGCAGACCTTCCTTCTATGACATCAGCAGACCCACCCTACTCTGCCTCTGGCTGGTGATTACATGTTGCCTTTACTGGTTGGGTTGGGTTGGTTGACGGCAAGACACGGCCCTCCTGAGCAATGTGCATTAGTTTTTGGGAATTCGTTTTCATTTTCCAAATGATCGGGAGCATTTCACAGTATAAATACGCTAGCTATTGTTTTGTTACTGGTGTTTTACATCCCTGGTTTTCTCTTTTGACATACGCACACATATAAATCTTCTGAGGTGTTATCTAATTACATTAGTATCTGTGCTTCCTTTGTACTCAGTGTTCATCTAATCTGAGTGGGCAGAAAGCAGGGATTAGTTGGACTCAGTATTTTTAAATGGGTTGTCGCAAGTTCATGTCTGAACAAGAGCTGAGTGCAGTTGCTACGGGAACACACCCAGCAGGTCCTTCACTTTCATTGAGGGGAGAGATCAAGTGATGCAGAGAGAAACAGTAATAAAAGCTTTGCTGCTCACCTTCAGGCCACCTGTGTGATCGCTCACTGCGAGCAGATGACTCACCATCAGCCGGAGCTAATACCTCAGAAATGTATCATCTGCCGTGTTATTCTTATGCACTGTTTGTGTTGAGTCAGACCGAGACCACGCAGGCATGCCTTACGGTCTTCAACAAGTTTATTTGTTTGGATATATCGGCTCGCTGCAGAGTTAATGTTTAATATTTGCACCTTTAAAATAAGAGCAGAGCAAGAGTGTTTTTCATTAATAAAAACAACGCCCTGAGGGAAGGGAAGGTTTGACTCCATGTTGCAAAGAGACATTCATGCCCCGGAGCGTCAGGTTTGAACTGATTTGTCTGAACAATGGCTGCTTTGTTTTGTATGGTCAACAAATAAATGTCTTGGATATTAGTCATGCTTCCTTTTGTTTTCTGAATTGCTTGCGAGACGTAGCTTGAAGAAAATGCTCCATGACAGATGTCATTCAGTCAATATAAGTGTTATAAACTTGGTAATATACAACATACAGCACTAAATGGTTCAATAAGCCAATACGTGCATGTTGGGAAACAGCCCAGAGTTTTTTGGAAATGAGCAACCCAGTTGGAAAGCCGACAAGAGTGTCTGGCAGAGCTATCATCCGTGGCGCTTTGAGATTTGAAGATGTTGGATGGTCTGCGCTTTGAGCCATGATTCAACAGGTTAAACACGCAGCTCAGTTTCTTGCAAATTAATTCATAGCATGCGTTTATTGACATACAGGAATAACAAGTGACAACTTAATAGCAGATAGATAGTGTTTACTACACTATACTGTGGACGTAATGCATCCTGGATGGATTGACAGGTTTTATCTAAGGCTCTTGAGTGTTGATGTCAGCCAGAAAATCAAAGACACTGTAATCATCCTTAGCTCTGGGTGGGCAGGTGGAGGCTGGGTGAAGGTGTGTTATCACTGGCAGCACTTCCTGTTTCTGTCTGAGTCGGTCTTTATCCCTCATTAGCTTCTATAAAGCGGTTTCTAGACTTAACAATAAAAATAAGGGTTAGGGTTAAGTGCATGTTATATTGAGAGTATTTTAACTGCTTTACCTTTCAGTCACCGTCCCTAATGTTGTTTTTCTTCTTCTCTCCTCAGGCGCCGGTGAACGGAGACACGCCTCCAGCTGAGGGCCTATCAGAGAATGACAGTGGAGTGGAGCTGACCAATGAGAACAGCCCTCTGACCGCTGCCGAACCGCCTTCTCCTTTCAGCCCCAAGCAGAACGGAGATGCCGCCTCACCTCAAGGTAACACACACACACACACACACACACACACAAATGAAGTGTTCAGTGGTTTAGTATTTAGAAAGTGATGTATTTCTTATGTTGTCTCTGTAATGCAGCACATTGTATTTAAAATGCCCTAAAAATATGAGTCTAAAATTGCCAGAGTCTGTAAAACTTTATTTTACACGTCCCATAGTTGTCTCAAATTTCCATAAAGGAAACTTATATTAATTGTAGATTCACGGGACACTCAAGGGATTTGTGACTTTGCCAGTTAGAAACTTTCAACCTTTTTCATCCTACAAAAACACCCTGTATGTTTGAGCTCACTGACCTGCTGCAGTCTCCTGAAACTTGGGTATAAACTGGTTCCTTCAAGGCTGACATTCAGCACTTAAACCTCAAAGGCATTGTCACATTTTAAATCTAACATGGTGTATTACAGAAACAAAACAACAGAGACTGCACTGCTACATTCTGCCTGCAAGTTATCCCTTGAAAATATTGAGTTTCATTTCGGCCATCTGTCGAACCATCTGTTGATCTCATCTGTCTCCTCTCAGAAGATAACCAGTGCACGAGAGGAAACAGGAAGAGAAACAGGAAGAAGTCAGAGGAGGAGGAAACTACCTGGGACTCCTACAGCGAGGTATGACCGCTGATACTAAATTTTGTGGAAGTGTTTTGATAAGTCTTCCTTGGGGGAACTGTGACATTAAATCCACTGAGTTTGTGTGTGTGTGTTTCCAGGACAAGACCTCAGGAGCGTCTCAGTTGAGTCTGAGACAGACGCCTCGACCCAGAACCATCTTCCAGGCCGGTCTGAACCCGCACGGACACAACAAACCTCGCAGACAGAACCGCAAGCAGGAGCAAAGCATGTTACTGGTAAACACACACAAAGTTCAGTGCTGTCGTGAGTGTACCGTATACCTCCTTCCCGTGCAACCAGGTGTAGTCATTAAAGTATAGCTCAGACTAAAGTTGCATTAAGACTCCTGTATAATCATCTTTACCCCAACATCGTGGTATCTCCATTAACAGCCGGTAGGTAAGACGTAAGATGTCCACAACTACATATATCACACGCTTTCTAAACAGTAACGAGGGCATAACACAGCAATTGCTATTATTTACTGTCCCTGTTGTCTGGTGGCTGATCTTGTCCTCTGCTCCAAGGGTAAAGACCTCATTGTTTGGGATCACAGTTTATTAAAATAAAAATTAAATGCAAAAAAACCCTCACAATCTCTTTCCTGTCTCTCCATCCTTTTTTTCAATCCATAGATAAACTTGACTGACGTCCTGTTTAGACACAGATCAAGGACAGTGTTCAAATCAGGCACTTAAATTCTTTCAACCAGTCTTCGACAAAGCCGTAGAGATGTGTAATGGAGATGACACGTGTGTCTGACCGTGTGTGTGGTGGAGATTCAATATGTTCATGTTTCCATAACAGCCTGTCCTCAGGTGAAGAGCACCTCTTAAAAGACACTTAAAAAACACACTTGAAGCAGGGTTAATGACAGCTGGGAAAAAAAGTACCTCGCATGTCTTTCTCTGTCTTCTGGTCTCGCACAAATATACCTCTGAGTCTAATAAACTTCTCTGTGTCTCTCTTTCTCTGACAGTGTGCAGGTGGTCCTCGAGTAGCTGTGGTTGTGTCCGGCGGGGTCCCCGAAGCCCCTCGTCTAGAGCTGATGGAACAAGACTCCAAAGATTCGGCCCAGAGCGTCAGCACCTCCTCCAGCTCTGAGGTCCAGCCAGAGTACAATGTAAGAAGTGTGAGACAATAAGATAACAGGGATACAAACTAGACCTGCATCCACTCACAGGGGCAGATAGTTGACTTTTAAGATCTTCAAAGACGAAAAAGACATAAAAACAGGAAGTCGGAACATGTCTTAAAATGCACATAGTCCTCCAAAGAATGCTTCAGATGTTTCTCAACATGTGTTTAAGTCACTCCTAATGAATACTGCATTATTCTAACACAGTCCCTCAGAAGTAACAGTCACATCAGGCTCTCAGACGAACCGGGGGTGAAAGTAGCCGAACGTTCTTGTAGATACTGCTCAACCTTAATCTTGTGAAATTTAATGCGCATTTCATCCAGTCGTCACCAAACGTGGTACTCAACATATTTGTTTTTTGCTTGGTTATATAGTCATCTTACAGTTGGCTGCCAAATTTAACTTTGAGGCAGCACTAAGTGCACAAAGCAATGATGAAGATCAAATTTAGCATTCCTAAATGTTTTCTATTATTAATGGAACGAATTTAAAGGATTGTGCAGCCTTGTAGGTTTGAGCACTTTCTTTCACACTTCCAGGTTATTCAAATATACTATAAAAAGGTTATAATTGAACTTCCAGAGATCAGAAATATATCTTGCAAGCTCTCTTGGAGAAGGGTTGAAGATGAGCAAAGGGAAAGGAAAAGAGTAAGAGTGAGCCAGCTGTGTCGATGCAGGAGGGACAGCATATTTTAAAAAGGGGAAGTGGAGGTTTGGCAGTGACAGAAAGAGGAGGAGGGTAACTCCCTTCACAGACCACAGAGCCTCCTCCACCTGGCCTTGTGTTGGTGCAGGTGGCCACAAACACACACACACACACACACACACACACAGTCTGGCAGTGTTTGCTCTGTATCAATAGTTTCATTCAGGTCATGACGACCACCAGTCTGCACAGCCAGGCCTGTGTTTGTGTGTGTGTGTGTGTGTGTGTGTGGTGCAGGTCATACGGACCTCGATGTGCTCCTTTGACATTTCCCAGTGCACATGCTTTTTTTGTGTGTGTGTATGTTGCTGTGTCTCAGTGTGTTGGTGTGTGTTTTCACTTGATCCAGGCTGAGGTCGGTGGAGCGTAGCATCCTTTAGAGGAGTCAGACTCCATTACAAAGCCTAATGGGCTTTCTCTCTTAAGACGGACTGAAGGATCACATAGTGCCGGCTCAACTGGGATTTGTTTGCAAGCATAGAAATCCCACCTGCTCATAAAACAGCACACCTAAAGTTCAAAATAAAGAAAAACATGTCAATTATGGCATTACGAGGGACGTTTGATGTTTTTCTTTAAAGACTGGAGTGCGAAGCGAACAGCAGAGATAAAGGCAACACCTGAGCAAATAAGCGAATGACAATGTGTTTCCAGACGGGTGGAGAGAGACACCAAGGTGGACGAACACCGATGCTTCAAAGATGTGGACGTTTAATCTCAATAAAATCCACTATTTTATTGATCTGTGGAGGAAAACTTGCTCTTACTTCTGTCTCATTCACATAAACGGTCAAAGTCACTACAATCTTAAACAAAACCCTGTGTACACCTATCTTCTTACCAAGGTTATTTATAAAAATGAAATGTAATCTTTATTTAAATTAAGCTTTCAGTTGTAGTTGTCGAAAAAAGTTTAGATGTTTCTTCCAAAATTTCAAAACTTCCCCCTCTTTCTTAATTTTTCTTTGAACTGTATCTTCATCCAAGACAAGATTTTTGGAAGTGGCAAACAAATATGTGCAGGGAGGTTTACAGCTTTTACTTACTACAGATATGTTTACAGATTTATGTCAAACCAGCAATATAACTGACTTTTAGGTGCCTTAATTCTTCCTCTCCTCTGCTGCCCACTCATGCTCCTTTCATCAAGGCAGCAAGATAAGAAGATTTTTCTGCCAAAGCGTCCTGGTTTCTCTCCTCTGTCCTCAGCAGCTGCAGTATCAGGGAAAGGAAGAGGTTCCCAAAAAACATCAAATCAATAATGTGACTGTCTGCCCTCATATTCTCTTCTCCATACCTCAAACCGTTCCTGTGTCTCAGAAACAAAATGTGTCATGAGACATTTTTTGCAAACTAGTACAAAGTACAAGACAGTGACATTTTCTCTCCTCTCCCTCCTCCACCAAGGACAACAAGGGCTTTGGCATCGGCGAGCTGGTGTGGGGGAAAATCAAGGGTTTTTCCTGGTGGCCAGGCATCGTGGTGACGTGGCGCGCCACTGGCAAACGGCAGGCAAGCCACGGCATGAGGTGGCTGCAGTGGTTTGGAGACGGCAAGTTCTCTGAGGTGAGGAAAAGAAGAAAAAAACAAACAGACTGTTTGAAGGCGGGAATTAAAATAACAGTTGTGAGTTTGTACTTTGTTTGATGCCACTTTTTTTTCCTCTCCAGGTTTCAGCTGACAAACTGGACTCCATCACCGCCTTCCCGAAGTTCTTCAGCCAGGCCTCCTACACCAAGCTGGCCTCGTACCGCAGGGCCATCTTCCAAGCACTGGAGGTGAGAGATGTGGTGGATTAGGTGGAACTTTTTGAAATGAAACAACAGCAGTTTTCTCTGGGATATAAACCACTTCATCTTCACTTTACCTTTCCTTTTATTCGCAGGGCAGAGTTAGCCTGCCCTCCTCTTCCTCAGTGCAGGTGTCTCCAGTTACATTGAATATGTGTGTGTGTGTTTGGTGAGGTGTTAGTGGGCTGATCTGACATGTGCTGTAAAAACATACTGTGAGGTTCACTGAAAGTGCAATAATGCATGTTTACAGCGCTATGTGTGTGTGTGTGTGTGTGCGTGCGTGCATGTGTGTGTTCCTGCACCATTAGCCAGATAAAATAAACACAGATGTGTGAAAGGGAGTTCTCCACACTATCACTACCTGCATCTCATCCTGTCAATAAAATAAGAGAGGATGACGAGAGCAGAGAAAGAAGAAATGTCAGATTATAAAGCAGACGGACAACAAGAGGCAGCTGGAGACAGGCAGAAAATATGCGATTGCACCTGAGATAATCTATGTGAAAAATCTTTACGGTCTTTTAATTGCATGTGTCGTGGCCAAAAAGTTGCACTTGAACAAGCCGCAAAAACTATAGCTAACAGCCAACCAGCACGTACGTTCTGCACCTGCATGAGAGGAAATAACATGCCGGAAGATCGACAGGACAGATTCAAGATGCTAG